TACATTTTCACAGAATCACAGAATTTTCAGGCGACTTTCCAGTTTTTGGAATTGTTCTGTCCAGGGTGGCTTTGTCCATGTGTTCCCACTCTGGGAGATCTTGAATCCATTGGGAAAGGGAGCAGTTGGAAATAAGGGAGACATCAAAGCCCTGAAGTTGCTGGAATGCTTCAGGAATGAGATGGAGGTGGAAGGAAGGCTCTGGAAGTGGGAGAGGGGGATGGTGAAGGCAGAGCTGGGCCCTGGTGTCACCCAGGTCTCCCTCGGGAACACCACATTCCCTGCCTGCTCCTCATGGATCCACCACTTCCACAGGGATGGATAAGGGAGGACAATCCCTGCATTCCCAAATCATGGAATACCAGAAAACTTCAGGCTGGAAAATCCCTCTGAGAGCACTGAGACCAAACATTCCCCCAGTGCTGCCAAATCCTTAAATCCACAAGGGGATGCCAGCCTGGAGCTGTGAATCCAAACAGAGCCCTTGGAATCAGCTGCTCTTTCCATCCCATTTCCCCCCTCAGGGTTGTCCCATTTTGGATCACATTCCATCTGGGATTACCACTTTATTGCAGCCAAAAAAAGGAAAAAAATGGGAAACAGAGGGAATATCCCTCTAATTGCTCACATCCCTCCAAGGCAGTTCATTAACTGTGGGAACTGGGCTGAATCCAGGGAATTTTAAAGCAAATTGGAAACTCGGCATGGTTTTGTTTCCTGGCTCAGTGAGCTGGGACGGGGCTGAGCAGGAATGTGGGGATGGATTGAGCAGGTGGATGTTGGGCAGGGAGCCGGGAATGGCACAGCTGGAAGAGGAGGGGTCTTGGTTTGAAAAGAGTGTTAAGGAAGGCACTGGAGCCTCCCCTGAAATGCAAAATGTAAAACCACTCCCGCTGAATTATTATAATTTTGAAATTAAGGGGCTCTCAGGGAAAGATATGGGAATAGGAATGACAGTTCTTTATTAGGGAAAATTAAAAATACAAATGTAGTAGTACAAACAAACAAAAAAACATTGGCAGAGTTGTTGACAGGAGCTGCCCCCCTGTGTGTCAGGGGGTGTCCCAGCCCCATCCCACGGTGGCTCAGCCCTCCTGCAGGGCCAGCTGTGGTTCTGCTGGAGCAGGGATCCTGCACAACAGGGGGAGTTTTCCTCTGAAGTTCCGGGGTGTTGGAGATGGGATTTCCAGGAAGGAATTCCTCTGGAATTCCAGGCCCATCTCTGGAATGTAGTGGAGAAGGAAGCTGCTCCTCTGGGAATGCAGTGGGCAGAGGCTGCTCTGGTGTGTGGTGATATCCCACCCCAGGATGAGGGAAGAGATGAGAATCTTGACTCCATGTTTCAGAAGGTTGATTTATTATTTTATCCTATATATTATATTAAAAGAAAACTATGTGTTAAAACCACACTAAAAGAATAGAGAAAAGATTTCATCAGAAGCCTAGCAAGGAAAAAATGAATGATAAAATCTTGTGACTGCTCAGAGTCCTGATACAGCCTGACCAGTGATTGGTCATTAATTAAAAACAACCACATGAGACCAATCACAGATGCACCTGTTGCATTCCACAGCAGCAGATAACCATTGTTTACATTTCGTTTCTGAGGCCTCTCAGCTTTTCAGGAGAAAAAAATCCTGGCAAAAGGATTTTTCATAAAATATGTCTGTAACAGTGATGTTCCCAGTGTCAGATTGTATCCAGGTAGGAACGCTTGGCTCCTCCCCCTGGGTGGAGCATCTCCCAATGGGATGATGGAATTTTATCAGTGACACTCAGTGGCCTATTAAGAGAAGATAATTAGTAATTAATGGCCCATTAACAGCAGATATCTCCTGGAGGGAGGGTTGGATGTGGAAGAGATAACGAAAACTGCCCAATGAACAGAAGAGAACTGCCCCACCTCTGACAGAGGGAAAATAGAATATACACAACCAAAACACATTTTACAACCCAGGACAGGAGGTCAGTCTGGCTGGGATGGGATATCTGAGTCCTGCCTGTGCCACTGGAATTTTGGGATGCAGAGATGGATGATCCATCCCTCATGGAAGTGTCCAAGGAAAGGTTGGATGGGGTTTGGAGCACCCTGGGATAGTGGAAGTTGTCCCTGACCCTGGCATGGGTGGGACTGGGTGGGATTTTAGGTTGCTTCCCACCCAAACCAGTCTGGGATTTGAGGATTCCAGGGAATTTGAGGATTCCAGGGATTTGAGGATTCCAGGGAATTGGTGGATGCTGCTGTGATGGCTCCAGGATGGGTTTTCCAGGTTCTCATCAGATGAATCCTGTGGGATGCAACTCTGTGGGATTAAAGCAAAAAATTAGGGATCCAGGGAGAGCTCAGAGCCCCTTCCCAAGCCTCAAGGAGCTCCAGGAGAGCTGGAATTTGGGAAAA